TAAAATATTTCCAAAGAAAATCCTAATCATTTATTCGATTCAATCAATTCAATTTTCGTTATTGCAGTTGTGCAAACGAGAAACAAACCTTTCTATCGAATCTTTTTACTCATTTGTTTGATAATCAATCAAATTGTTGACGAAGATCGCTTTTTCCACTGACTATTTGTGATTTATTTCATCATTCTTGATGCTAATAATTCACACACCACTTCGAAATAATCGTAAACCAGGATTTTAATTCCATAATTATCGAAAAATGTAATTATTAATTACATCAGACAAAGCATTTTTGATGAAAAATGAAAATTCCTAAAAGAACAAATCGATCAAAGATTTCGTTAGACAAAGAAAAATTACAAACGCTGTTAAATAGGTCGATACTTTCTCTTCAAGATCGTGATCTCGTCGATCACAGGGCAGTTTGCGTTGTTCGTATGCTTTTACACGTAATGATACAACATCAGGTATTTCGTTTAAGATCAAATTTTCAAAAATTGAATCGGATATGATTATTCTCTAGAAATGTATAAAATCTCTTTACTTCTACCTTGTAAATTCGTGTAATTTTAAACCAAGATTAGCGTGACCGGTATCAGTAACTATTTATCTTCCGTTCTCTCAAAATACGATCGCAGTACATATCGATCGACGAAATTTCCATCCATAAAGTTCTTCTTTCAAATAAAAATGCCTTTTTTTGTGTTTTTTCTTTAATGCACAGCTCACCCGCAAATGATTTGTTCAAGATTCTTTAAACTGTTCTCTGCTGTTTCGATTGGTTTTCTCCTTTCTTCATACTTTTTTCTTTCTTTTCAATTATCAATATTCTGTTTGTGTTCATCAATTGCTTCTCGAATTAATCTCTTCGCTTCATCCACATATCCAAGATGATATGAACAAATAGATAATCGATAGAATTCTTTCGCATTTTTGTTTCTCTGCAAGTTTAATGATTGTTTGGCATCTTCGTATCCATTATAGGAGTCTTTTTCTTGAAATGGAATATAACAAATACAAAGGAACATCATCGCGTGAATCGTTTTTAAGAAGATTGAATAGCTAATGATGATTGTTGACTGGAATAATATCGATATCCTTGTTTTTTTAGGTCAGATGGTGTTATAGAGGCATGTTTCAAAATCTGATCGTCGATGTTGAATCTACAATAGAAAAAGATCGTCACGCTCTTCGTCGAAGTGAAATACATGAAAGAGAAATAAATGTATCTCGAACAGATATCGCCAGTAGTAAATGAATACAAACGTTAAGAATTACATTCGAAAATTAGCAATAATAATTATTGAGCTTGTGCTTCTAACTTCCAGAAGATTGATTATTTTCAACTTTTACAGACAAATTCTGGGACTTTTTATCCTTTTATGATCATATAGAACAGTTGTCGAAGATTTGTGTGGACACACCAGATCTGCTTTCTTGCAATTCTTTGTTGGACTATACTACGAGGAGATACAACGATTGAGAAAGAAATATGGTTCTTCATTTTCATCTATATCGATGCCCGATGACTTCGCATCGTTGTTGTTCAATAGGATGAAGCACATTACATTTGCAGAAAACAAAATCTTTTTTTTTTCCAAATATAGAAAGAGTATAAATCTGATATTTTTCTAATCTTCAATTATGATTCAATGAAGTCTGTATTCAAAAAGAACGACAGCGTACTCATAAAGATTTTCTAAAAATATGATTTTTATTTTAGTTTCACAGGTTTATCGATCTATTCATACTATATGCTTCTTGCATCATATGTATGAACGAAAATATTTGTCCACCAAGATCAGCTGATAAGCAGAAAATACATTGTCCGACATCTAATGCAGAAAATCGAAATATTTTCTATTGATTATTAGCGACAAATACTACAGCTGCTACGAATATAGAGGCTACAACGACAAGTAAATTTATTATAAAAAAGAAATGTCTCTTTAAAGTGAGAAATACGAATGTGATCGCTCGTGCTGTCATCTCGTTGTTCTCTCTTGACAAGTTTTCGAGCGTTGAGAATGATCTTTATTTGAAAGGTTTATGTATGGATTGAAAGTTAAGAAATATAGAGGTACTTTGAAGAGTCATGAATATAACATATGAATATATTATCGTTGTTGTGCATTTATGTTAAAAAATACCATCAGTTAACAGGCTGGAGAAATAAACCGAAGATGTTCTTCCCGGTCGTTTTGGGTGATGAACAGTTTCTCAAAATATCTCGACATTGAAGCATTTCTACAGCTGCATTACCTTTCTTTAAACGAATTTTTAGATAGAAGCACTTTGGAGTAAAAACTAAGTTGTAAGTCGAGTGAGCATTTCGAACACCTTTCTCGTGAGTAAATTTTTCGTTTTTCAACATTCAATTGCCAATCATTTCCAGATTACAGCCGAATCATTTAATGGTTTATTGAAAGAAAGAAATTCACTTAGCAAAATGATTACAATCTGTTTTAATAAGAGAAAAATCTACTTGAAGTCAAAATTTGTATTTCACTAGAGGATTGTTCAATGTATTACTTACTTTGTTTTTCTTCTTCTTTTTATTTTATGAGCATGATCTTTTGTTCGATGTAACTGCTTTAGAAACAAAATTCTGCAAATGAGAACAAGATGGTAAAGCTGTCGCAAGAGGAAATGGAGATCGAAGTGCGTTAAATCACTCTCACACCCTCTTATAGAATCTACAGACGTGTGGTTCGATACTGGAATGAAAATCAACAAGAAATTCTTATTGACAATATCGCTATCACTCGATTAACAATGGTTAAATATGCAAATCTTTATGTTTTTTTACTGGGATAATGATTAAATTCAGAGATTTGATTTAAATAAATAAAATCAACGTTTTCTAAGGAACTACAAAAGAGAGCATAACTTAATCAAAAATAAATAAAAGGAAAAACTTTCAATTCGAAAGCAATTGAATTTTGTTATCAAAATCATTAAATTGTTTGTACAACATATATAATTATATTCATAGAGGAAACAAATACACCTGATGCACCATTATCATCAAAAAAAGAATTTTCAGATGTAATCTTTATTAACCATTAAGTATAGAAGGTCAATATAAAAATACCCTTAGCAAAGAAAAAGAACGTTCTCTTTGGTGTAAAATTACCAAATTAAGCTGAGCTCAATGTAAAACATCGCATCACTTTTCAAATACTGATGTCATTCAATACGTAGTAAAAAAAAAGCGTCTGTATTGATTTCAAAAGGCATATTATATGATATTACTTTTTGTCCATGCTCTGTCAAATTCAATATTTCGTCTTTACAGCTTTCTTTTCTTGTTGGAGAAAGTGCGAGTCGATGAAATAATTTTTCATCAGCTATCGACGTGTATTCGGTGCTCTATACAACATTTTCTCGCAAAAAATATGCCGGGTAAATTGTGCCAACATCTTTAGGGACATTTCTCAGGTTGTGAAACTCGGAGAGATTTGTGTTCCTATTTGGCGTAAGTATTTATCTTACAACATATTATCACATAACGGAAAATACCTTCCTTTCCATTGTTACGACATATCTTAGTATGTTTTGGTTATGCAAAGAGGATAATTAGTCCAGGAATTGGCTGTGAGATTATATTGAATATTAAAGAAAGGATAAAAAGAAAAGAGAAAAAAAATGAATAGAGGGATATATAAGCGAGAGTAATAAGTTATTGTGACTCACTATAGAACAGAGACTCCATCGTGTTATCTTATAGTTGTCAATCTTTGTATAAGTGTACAATCATTCCCTCTTTTGCACAAATAAATAATAGTGAACTCGTAACAATTTGCAAAAGTCCTAAGAATTTAGTTAATCTTCTCTTCAGCTCACTCCCAAATTACAAAGTTGTTACACATATATTTTATTCTGTTACTTGAGAGTATCTCTATAGAATGCTTTTGGGGTGTGATATCAATACTAATTTAGCATGATGCTTCGCTTTTGATCAGTCATGTGCCTCATTTAAGTTAAACAAACGTAATTCGCGTCACTGTACATTATTCACTGATTCTTCTGAAAACTTTGTTGCTGTTTATATGAATACTATAAAAAAATTAATGAATCAGTGTGTGCCGATCACGGTATAATATGAGAGTTGATCAAGAGAAGTGCATAGGGAAAGCAATAAAAGTCTTGTAGGATATAAATACTTTGTGACAGCAGATGGATTGTATACGTTGACTTATTATTTACACTCTTTCAGTATCAAACTAACAAGAGAGCTATTGACTAAAGTTCAGTCTTTGAGTGATTACAACAGTATGCAGTTCTCGATTACAAATAATAATGACTTACATTCAGCAGCTTCATGTGCTAACAGTATTGATATTGTCATTCATCAAACTTGAATGGAGTTTATCTTGATTGTGGGATGTGACATTAATAACGATGAAAAAGACATGCACACACATCATCAGAAAACAGCACGTATATGTGTAGAGAATGGAAGTGAGACGAGGAAGAGAGGAAATGGAATGAAAGAGAAGTTAAAATATATTGAAGAGAAGAATTATGGTTAGAATTCGATTACATATATGTCAAGAGAACAAATTGAGCAACTTTTATAATATCTTCTAAATTCACTGCAACAAATCTTTATGATATCTTCCACAGCACATTGTATCAGGTTCTTTCAAAAGAATACATTGATAATACGTGTTACTTTGATAACAGGTGAACTCGAAAAAAAAAGATTTTGATGTTTTACACACGTGTAGTATAATATTTGCTTTTTGTTTATTATCGTGGAGAGAAAAAAAAGAGTAAAACTCGTATGAAATACTTTATCATTCTCATCTTATATCAGGGAACATAAATCAATACGATTATGACATTGTTCACTACTGAAAGATAAGAGAAATGAAGGATTTACGGCGAAAAGAAAGTCTTTCAGTTAACGTATTGATTGAAGAATTTACCATATTCTTATGAAAATTACTTTTTCTATAATATTTATTGAATATCCTTTTTAGATTTTAGAATTTATGGCTCAACCTATACATTTCAACCCGAATTGTTCGAAATTCTTTCGAACTTTGATTATTATTGTTATTAGTTTATCACTCGGTTTCTATCTCGCATCTTTTGAACGTGTTGAAAAAGTTCAAAAATTGTCTTCTTCGTCGATTAATATAGTCGATACAACTCAACCTTTAACAAAGAACATTACGTGTGTCAAAACCAAAAATCTATTTGATTTATATAATTCAACAATTTGTGTACATGACAATGAAGATTATGTTAGTAAAATGGTTCGTAAAAATCACATTTGGGAAGAAGATTATATTGTTCGTATATTGAAAATACTTATTCGAAATCCAAGTTTAGATATGATCGATATCGGAGGTAATATTGGCACCTATACAATGTTTACTGCAGGAGCACTTGGTCGTTTTACGTTAACAATTGAATGTTTTAAACCAAATGTTGAACGTATTGTTCGTGCTGTTCAGATAGAAAATGTTCATAATCGTGTTGTTATTGTTCATCATGCATTGTATTCGAAATCAGGAGAATATATTCAATTGTCTCAAGGATCTCCTTCGGGATTGCAGCTTCAAAATGCGATTTCCAAAAACTCCCTGAATGAATATATTGTTCAAACAGTTCGACTTGATGATTTACTTCCTATTCTAATTCAACGAAATGTTCGTGCGGCGATTATTAAAATTGATATTGAAGGTTCGGAAGTTTATCTTTTAGAATCAGGACGAAAAGTTTTTCAACAAATCGATATTCAATTAGTTATGATGGAATGGGGAGATGGTTTACGAAAGACTTATGCAGATCGCTATGAGAAGATTGTTAATTATTTTGAAGAATTACATTACATTACGACAGACGTTGATTGTAATATACTTGATGTGACGAACTGGCGAACAACATGGCCAGGAAATGTTTATTGGATCAAAGAAATTCATTTTAAAAAGAGTATTTGTTAGAGAAACTATGAACATATTGTTTAGTTATTTTTCAGAAGTCGCTTTACGATATTTAAAAAATCAATTGATAATCATGGGTTCAAATAAAATGAACAACAAAATGATTTTTATTGAAATTGAATTCTGATTTTTCGTTTGAAAAGTTTTCATCCACAAACGAAATCAAATCTTCGAATTCGATCGTTTCCTCAATCAGCAACGCAAAGATCTCCTTTAACACCAAATGATACATTCTGAGGATCATATGCAGTTGATTTGACGGATCTCCTTCCCAGTCCTACCCACAATTATTTCGCCTTTCCCGTTTCCTTCCCGTCAACACATTATTCGATGATTTCTGTAGGATGAGTCAATTGATAAAGATTAATTTCATAAAAATATCCACCGGCCATAACGTAGCTCCTTTCTTCGTATCTTTTCTCCATTTCCTTTTTCATCTTCACATTTTATGTTTCTGTTGATCACATAGATAGAGAAATTCATATTTATCCATTGCTAAACTGCAGCAATTGATGTTATCTATAAGACCTTCTTGTTGATTTTGTTTGGTATCCATTGAATAATTTGATGGTTGTTTCTACTGTATAGGCAATGAGAATATTGTGATTTTTGTCGATAAAAATTCCTTTCGAACTCGAAAGTTTAATAAAGTTTTTCCCCATATTTAATCCTTCCTGTCACGGATCTTCCATTTTGTTTTCATTTGTTGAATTTGATTTCTAAAAAAAAACAGAATTAAAAGCTCTCAAAGAGGAAACTTAGTCTTTCATTTAGATCGACATACGAAATGATTTTGCCGTTGTCGAGCTTTGACTTGACGAAGATTTAGTTTCTCCTGAAATTCTTGTTTTTGTATTCGATGATGAACACATACTTGATAAAAATGGAGTCAATGCTTCATACGGAAAAGTTTTTTCTCTCAAGTAAATGATAAATAAACCATTTCCAGCATTACATTTACTCACAATTTCGAAGAAAATTCCAGGAAAGAGAAGAATGGGATCGAATTGATTTGCCGTTTAAACATTCGATATTGAAAATTGTTCGGTAACATTTATTGTTTCTGTACAAGAACTCAACCCCCACCAAATTTTATCAATATCATAATCGTCACTTAGATTTCTCCAAACACCACGATAAATAATCTTTTGAATTTGAGGAATATTTTGATTAAGACACAAACATTTATTTCAAATAGGAGAAAATCAAATAAAAACAACAATCTAATGTACAATTTCTGTTTTGTCTAATCTGAATCTTGATTGATTTGTTCGATATATTGTCGACGATCTGAATAATCAAATTTCAACCATTTCTTTAACATTGAAGTCCAACCCTTTAACAAGAATCGAACATTGGATTGATTTTGATCATAATCAAACTGTCGAAACCAATTTTGTTCAATAAATAAATACAACGCATCAACTGAAGATCGATCGAGAAACGGTTTTCGTCCAAAAGCCAAATAAATCTTCGTCAAAACATTAACAATCAGATGAAAATCATCCTTCCGTTCGGTGTGATCCATACCAAACAATTCTCGTAAACCAACTTCAAACCATGACGATCTCTCCGGTTCGATCAGCTGGATATCTTTTCGATAAAAAAAAGAGTGAATGTTTCTTTTGGCGTCCACGTTACTCAATGTTATAATCAGATGGACTTACCTTCGTCGTCAATCTTTTTGCTGATTTTTGTCAATACGAAATCGATTGTTTTGGCTGATTGTTGTTTCCATTGATCAATCGTGAGATTTCGAATTGTATTTGCCGCACATGTTTTCGATGGCGCTTCAAGATAATCGTAAAAGAAGATTTCAATTCCCTTGTTCAGTATTAATTCATCGAGAAAAAGATCTTTGTATGGATGAGAATGAATGTATGTTTCCATTGCATCGGACAAAGAATCACCTAATGAGTAACGATACAAATCATTGTTGGTTAGACGATAAACTTGTTTCAATGCACGTAAGGAGAGATTTTCATCAGATGAATTCATGATTAATGAAACTAAGACATTGTTGATGAAAAGAGAAAATTCCTAAAAGAGAATTTTGAAGATAATCAATCGAATTCGAAAGATACGAACGTTGGCAGCGACATCTTCGAGTGCTTTTTCGAGTAAACCTTTGTCTTGTTCATCATCGGGTAAGTTCATTTGTGCGATGAACGCTTTGCGTACTGAACCAACATCAGGCATTTCATTTAAAATTAAATCTTCGAAGATTGGATTATTTCGAAGGATTTTCTAAGGAAAAAAACCAAGACTTTCAAAAAGAGAAAGGCGTCACATTACAAAACGTACTGGTACGTTGAACTTTGAATTGAATTTCATTGCTAATTTCTGCAATTTCGAACCAACTTCTTCGTGATCAATATTCATCAGGTGTTGATCTTTGCTTTTGTCAAAATAAGCTCGAAATATGTATTGAATCTGATAAAGAATAGAGGGAATTTCATGACAATATTTTCCTTGTCTAAAACCAATGCTCAACAAAACAAAAATTCACAATTTGTAAATCTCCTTACTTATCGATGATCGATTTCAACATATTGAGACTTTTCTTTACTGTTAATGTTGGTTTTCTCCATTTCTTCATACATTTTTCTTTCTTTTCAATTATCAATTTCAGTTGATTGTAATCATCAACATTCTGTTTGTGTTCATCAATTGCTTCTCGAATTAATCTCTTCGCTTCATCCACATATCCAAGATGATATGAACAAACAGATAATCGATAGAATCCTTTCGCATTTTTGTTTCTCTGCAAGTTTAATGATTGTTTGGCATCTTCGTATCCATTATAGAAGTCTTTTTCTTGAATATGAGCAGCTGATCGATTGGAATATAACAAATACAAAGGAACATCATCGTGTGAATTGTTTTCAATAAGTTGAATGGCTTGAGAATAAGATTGAATGGCTAATGATGATTGTTGATTAGAATAATATTGATTTCCTTGATTTTTTAGATCAGATGGTGTTAGAGACATATCGCCGATTTGAAATGACAACGGTTAATCCTTTTCGTTCTATGGAGTGATTTGAATGGACGAAGGAAAGGAAAAAGAACACGTGATGAGAGAAAAGAATTCTTCGGAATTTATTTGACTTCATGTTCGAAAAAGTGTTTACAATTTCATAATATAAAGTAAAGCAACAAACGGCGGTGTTACATCTATCGATGTGATGTCAGCTGTGTGTGTATGTGGCTGACTCCCACCATCCGCCCGTATTGAATGCTGATGTTGACAATTGCCACATTGATTATAATTCTTAGTATTGATCCATCGCGGAGGACCTGTATTCAATGGACCTATGAAATAAAATCAATTTTTCGATCTTTCAATGAATTATATACTCACTTGCACTGCAAGGATTACTGTTGATATCATAATATATTGTACCAGTATTTTCAATATCTGTACTACCACCATGTGAATGACTTGGCATTTGTGCTACAGTCAGTGTAGTATCATGTACGGTAACAGTCGGTGTTTGACTTGATGAACCACCAGTTTGTGTTGGTGCATATGTGGAACCGGTACCTAGAGCATGAAAAGTTCAAAAACTTCTCTCTCTCTCATCGTGATGTGTGCTTACCGGATCCAAGGACGAATCGATCTCGTAAATCGGGTGTACCTTGTGTACCATCACAAACACCCCAACCCAAAGGAACAGTTGCGGTAGATCCACTCCTACATCGACTAAGTTAAGCAATGAAGATTATACTTTTAGCAATTACCATAACATAATCATCCCAGGTGGTACAAGAGGATACACTTAAACAACAAATATCATGTTCTACGAAAATTTCAAAGGAAATGTTCACTTGACGTAGATGTTGACGAAGTGCTGGATGTCGTTGATTCTGTTGTTGTTGTCGTTGATGTAGATGTTGAAGTAGTTGTTGTTGAAGTAGTGACATCCTCTAAAAAAGGTATTCAGATTATATGAATTCCACTCTGGGTCAAAAACACTTTTCTGTATAGGATACACTTACTGCGTAATAGTTCGCTCAGATATAAAGTGAGAAAAACACCGAGTACAACGCCACTTACTAATGCACCGATGAATACCCAAGTGAGGAACCAAGTACGATTGACTCGTTCCTCATTTTGAGACGCAGTTTTAGAAATACTTCGAGATGAAGGCGAGTTTTGAATTTCTTTCATTATTAATAAAACATGTGATTACCAACGTTGCAAAAGAAAACAAATGACTACAGTACTTCGTTTCATCAAGCATATTTTTATTTCTGTCGACAATTTCATTATGAAAAAGACTGGATTTCTATGCAAATTTCCTATATAGTTTACGAGGCTTCCGTTTGATTCATTTCGTGCGATTCGATCCTTTCCTTTGTTTACTACGTATATCATTATTAAAATATTTTTTTTGATAGATTCTATTCTTGAATTCTCTAGAAAAACACAATTGAGAGTGAAGGCACATTTTGTAGGCAGCTGCTCGATTAGAAAAGGTCAAGTACAGGCTAATTCGATATATGTGCAAATGAAATGATGCGTATCGGTCACGAGTTGCTGTGCGAAATGAGATATTCGGATGATTCGAAGTATAGAAATGTCGAAGTTTGAACAATTTCCGGCTGAAGTGTTTTATCTTATTCTTGATTATTTGAAAACATGGGAGATTTTTTACTATTTTTACAATCAATCGCAACGGATGAGTATGCTTTTACTCAATTATTCTCGATATCGAATAGATTTTCGTTCAATTTCACGAGACAATTTTGATTTCTTTCTGGAGAAAATTCGTCTAACGAACATCATTTCCTTAATTCTTTCTAACGATAATCAAACTCCAGGTCAAATTCCATTATTTCTTTCTTTAATAAACTCTTCTGATCTCTTTCGACTTCATTATTTATCTGTTCTTCATATTGAAGAACATCATCTACTAGAATTTCTTCGTCATCTCTCTCGAAAAGATCTCAAAGCTCTAACCATTCATTGTCAACCTTCGTTTCGTTTTCGTAATCACGGCGTCGAACTTCTTTGTCTTCTCTCGTCACTTATCTTCCAATCAGAACTTCGTTATCTTTATTTCAACTTCTGGGTCTTCGAAATGAAAAGTCTCACTTGGTCAATTCAATCGACTCTTCACTCTCTTCGCACCGATCTTTCATCATTTTCCGAATATTGTCGTATCCTCAATTATTTCGTCAATCTAAAAACTTTAAATTTAAACAAATGTTCGATATTCGATATTGAAAATATTTATTTCTCTTACAAGTTCATGCCTCCGTGTCATTTACAATTGAAATCTTTATCAATAGACAAGATTTGCTATGTTAAAATGGAGACTTTATCATTGTTTTTATCAGTTACACCGTCGATTAAGTATTTGAAAATCATCGGTTGCGGTTCGTTGGAAAATCAGGCATTTGACGGAAATCAATGGAAGGATTTTATCGAAGGAAAATTACGTTCTCTCGATAAGTTTCAGTTTTATTTTCAAACGCAACGAAATCCTCAAGTTGCCGTTGAAAATGTTTCATCGATAATAAATTCTTTTTCTGATTCATTTTGGACTAAAAGCAAACAATGGTTTGTCACATGTGATTTCATTCGAAATCTTCGTCAAATTCGACTTTATTCAATTCCAATTTGTCGAACGGATTTTGATTTAATTCCTCAACGGAATTTATTCTCGCGATCAACGTTAACTTCAACTACAACGATGGAACCAATACAGAAACTTCAAGTTAATCTTTCGTCCGGTATGACAGAAGAAAACTCAATCCATAAAATATCCCTTCCAATCCGAGATTTATTCGACTCATCTTCTCCTTCGATATTTCCGCAAGTTGATGAGCTTCATTTTGAATTTGATGATCAATCGCCAATGAATTTGCACGAGTTAATCGCAATTGATCTCTCGAGAATTGTGAAAGTTTCTTTAAATATTTATTTTGATCAAGATTCTCATCATCAAGTTGTAATCGATGCGTTAAACGATGTGTTTCAACGTATGCCAAACGTTCATACTGTTTACAATATGAATCGCACAGTAAATGCGAAAATTCTTTGTTCAATTATTCCTTCGCATATTCAACATTTACAAACAAAAGTCAAGGAAATTCATCAAATGAAAATCATTTTACAGCATTTTCAGTGTTTATCGAGCGTAGAATTCGATTTTCTCGCTCGTTCGCCACATTTTCCAAAAACTATTATCAAATGGCTCAAAAAGAAGCAGATTTTATTCGAGTTTTACTGTACACAATATTCTTTACAATTGTGGCTCGACAACAACTAAAGTGAACTATATTTGAATGGTTGGAAACTCTCTGTGTAGTTTTGTTTGTTCTTGAAAAGTATTTTTGAAAATCAATAAATGAAGGTGACGATGGAGAAACAATACCGATAGCATAACAGTGATAATACTGCCTTTTGACATCGGTCGAAATCATGTAAGCTTTGGAATATTTCAAAGCCGATGCATAGAATGCGATCAGAATCTGTGAATGTCGATATCACGTTTTTTTTCTGCATTGAAATTCCAATGTAGAACATTGACATTTTAATAAGAGTGTCTGTTTAATTCAAGAATAAAATAATAGATAAGTAAAAATAGACCAAAAAGCAGTAAACTTGATGAATTTTGAAAAGAATATTGCCGTGCGATATGCTAATTGTGTATTTGTGTCCTTTCAAGCAAAACTTCCAATTCCTCTTTTGCATTAGTATGTGCCCGTGCGATGTGCTGCGTTGTTTCCTTTGCTTCTCTTTGCAGTTCCTCACATTTATCAATGACGAGTTGGCACTGACGTGACCCGAACTTGCAAGTTCCATAGCTTGTAAGAAAGAGAAACGACAAAGCTACAGATTGATTAGCTAAAGTAGCCTTTGCAATCGCAAGCGCTGTTCCTGCCCCTTTCACAGCTTGAGCTCCTGAGTATAATGCGCCTGCTCCTAAACAAATGCTGGCGCCCAGAGCAACATGACCAGCCAAATCGACTCTATCCTTTCTTTGCAAAGCTTTGTTGTGATGATATATCACCTGACGTATGGTTGATTGTAATTTATCTTGTGCTGTGATGTTGGCTAGTTCAAGACGAGTAAAAGCGGCTCTGATTCTAGCTGTGCTTATGTTCGAACTTTGAATAGCTGCAATCAAGTTGCTGATGGCTTCATCAAAATCCTTCTTCACTGGCTCGAATGTGATTTTGTTCAATTCTTTGAACTGTTGATTCGCACCATAGGCAATATAAAGACCATAAGCAGCTATAGTTAGAGAAACAGCCACATTAGCGGTCAGAAAGGCCGGCGAATTGATAATGGTCTCGATTTGGCTGCGCAGATTGATAACTTTCCGAAGACATTCAGAGCAACTGTCAGGAGCATATTTACAGATGAATTCGATAATTTGGCTCCATTTAACAGTAATTCCTGCAATTGCAATTCCACTAGCGGCCACTTTGAATTTATTAGTAACTAGAGCATTCCAAATTCGATCTTCGAGGCTCTTGTGATTATAGCGTTGAGCAGCCAAATCGTTTTGATCTTGAGACCAACGCTGGAACTGCTGCATACCTTCCGCAATCCATTGATCCAATTTAGTCACAAGTGGTTCGAGAAGCTTAGTGTTTAAAACTACATTGGCAGCAACTCCTACTCCTAATGCGACAGCTGCATTCATAGGACGTTGATCAGAATCAGGATTAGCAGTGTTCATTAAGGTATAGGTAACGACTGAAGCTGCTGCAGTACCGATCATGCTAGTTGCAGAGCGAGTGATAGAACAGACTGATGAACGGGGCTGTTGTCTGAGGGGCGAGGTAGAAGCACCAGGTGGAACGGACAAGTCATCGTCGCCATTGGACGACATGCTTTCGTTGTCACTATCAGTGTTGGCATTTTTTGGAAGATGATTCGTATTGGACAATGGTGATGAATGATGCATCTGAAAAGTAACTATCGTCAATTTACATTTTCACTTTAGTAAAAAATTTTCTGCGTTTCTTGTTTTTGTTATAGTCAGTACTTTGTGTCTCCATACAAAGCATAAAAGAAATAAAGAAGACCAAGTCAGACAAAAATTTGGAAAAACGCGTTTAAACACACAAAAGAGAACCGCGATTGTGAGCTGTTAACGTTCAGTTAAAACACGTTCGAACACGCGTTTACTGGTGTTTTTTCCAACTTTCTCAGCGTGTAAACATCAGAACTTTCCTTTTTCCAACGTAAAAGCGATCTTTTAATATAGAATTCTAAAACAAGGCGTTTTCACGCTGAGAAAGTTGGAAAAAACACCAGTAAACGCGTGTTCGAACTTATTTTCACTGAACGTTAATAGCTCACAATCGCGGTTCTCTTTTGTGTGCCTGAACGCGTTTTTCCAAACTTTTGTCTGACTGGGGAGAGAGGCTTGAAGAAATGCTTGAAAAGGAAAAAACAAAGTGGAAATAAACCAGCTATGCGTCACCTATGAGTAACATAGCATAAATAACATCATCAGTGGGAAAGACTAAAGCAATGCTCATGCAAAATGCAGCTCGACCTCTCCTGTACTACTTCACCAAAGAGAGCAAGGATTTTTTTCAAATAAATAATGACGAAAAGCTTACATCAAAACTGTACACTGAAAGTCATAAAAATCAAAGCCAACAATACCACTGACGCATCAGTACAAAGTGAACTATCTCTAGATCGTAATTAGTTAAGAACAAAATACAGTATGTTCATGTGAATTAAGTCACTACTAAGTGTACTTTAAATTTTAACTAGTTGGTACAAAAGCTATTATGTCACTAAGCTGACTCTATTCATTGCTCACATCCTTGTTGAATAATGAAAAAAAAGTTTCTTAACCATCATATGAAATTTATTGTGCAAGATTCTCAAATTTTCTTTAATAGTATTTTTAGAAAGAAAAAGAATACATCCATTTGCACTCAAGATACAACAGTTTTTTTCTTTGTGTGATACAATGTCACAATGATAACAACGTAAAGATAAATGTCGCTTTGTCATAGTATCAATTATTTCTGCTTCATCATTTTCTCTTTAAAATGTTTATCATGAAGGCGATTTTCATTCAAGTTTGTATAATCCAATTGTACTTCTTAGTTGTGACATCGATTCAACTAAGTCCGTGTGCTAAATGGAATTCAACAGGAAGGACAACGGCTGGTACAGGCACTGCTGGTTCTACTTCAACTCAACTCAATTGGCCTCATGGAATTTTTATTCATCAGCAAACCAATTCTTTATATGTTGCCGATTCGGAAAATAATCGTGTACAAGTATTCCGATTGAATGATCAATCAATGATTGCGACAACTGTAGCATTCAACGTATCGGATCCAACGAGTGTCTATGTCGATGACGATGAGAAAGATGGACCTATTCTATATGTTGCCATGGAAGGAAGTGATCGGGTAGAAAAATGGATGAAAGGCGCCACTGTCGGCATACAAGTGGGAAGTGAATGCCGTATTTGTTCAGGTGTTTGGTTAGATAAACAAAAGAATATTTATGCTGCGGAAGCGGTACGATTTCGTGTAGTTAAATGGTTATCAACTACACAAGCAGAAATAGTTGTTGCCGGAAAAACCGACCAATTTGGAAATAAAGACGAACTTTTAAATGTTTTAGGAAGTATTTATGTTCATTCGACTGATGGAACAGTTTATGTTGCAGATAGACTCAACAATCGAGTACAAAAATGGACTAAAGATGCATCATATGGCATTACTGTAGCTGGCAATGGAATTGCCAATGATACTGCTCAATCTCTTGATAATCCATTCGGTGTTTTTGTTGATGAGGGAACAGGAGTTGTCTTTGTAGTCGATACATTCAATGAAAGAATTCAACGTTGGCTTCCTGATGCTCTTCAAGGTGAAACTATCGTTGGTGATCCTGGTAAATTTGATTATATATTCTTGATTTTAACTGTATTTTCATATAGATTCTACTAGCCCATTCAATCAATTGAAAGGTCCGACTAGTATGGCATTTGACAGCGATGGTAATCTCTACGTTAGTGATTCACTTAATCATCGAATTCAAAAATATGCTTTATTGGATAATTCACCATGTTCATCATCATCAGCAGGTAATTGATTATATGCGTAGTCATTTCAATTTCAATTATTTGTTTTATCTTTTTGTATACAGCAATCTTTTCGGTATTATTAAAGTAAGTTAAGCGAATGATTACATGGTTTCTATGAAAATTCTGAGATTTTTTTAGATTAAACCTTATCTTTTTATTGCCATTGTGGTTTTATTCTCGATGTGAATAATCCGAAACGCTTTTCGTCTATTTGATGCACTTCTATTGAAATAAACATTCCCGAAAAGATCACCGAAGGAGTATTCAGTAAAATTCGGTTACGTTTGAGTGATTCCGCTTATAATGACACATTCTCGACTCTTGACAAAAGAAACAATATTTTAATAACGTATCTTTGTTCGCTCGTTACATTGTACACATCTAAAGGTAAGCAAAAAAAAGAATATTTAACGTTTTGTTACATACTCACATGGGCGAATCAAATGTTGATCAAATAACTAAACAATCCGACGAAGAACGTCTTCCAGCATTTATTCTTGAACAATGTCTTACTGATAATATCCAAGAAGAACAAATCGAATATAAACTAAATGCACCTTTGTGCATTTCAAAAACTTATCAAAATGAATTTTTTCCTAATGTATGTTTATGATTTGTTTTTATCGCGTATTCATTGATTATTTGTTAATCTAGTTTCATGTGAATTACTCAGGCACATTTGAAAATCAAGAGTTATTTTTCGCTTCGATTCGAGTGATTGCGAAAGACAGTAATGAAGAAGAAGAAGAAAGAATTGTTCAGGCATTGATTCGGTAAGTTACACTAAACATGGAAGATAAAAATAACTTTTCTTTAAGAACGAAAACTAATAATTACCATGTATCAAATAAAATGAACATAACAAATGAAGAAAATCTTCTACGAATGTTATTCAACAAAGTTCAATTACAACCAATTCAGCATTATGAAATCATTCGTCATATTAACGTAAGAGAACTTCCAACAAAACTCATGGCAATCAGTGAAAATTTGACGAGATAGAAAAATTTTCTCGACAAAGTTAAAAAGGAACGGAGATTGTCACGGAGAGAGTTTTCAGCATACCCAAAGATTCAAAAAAGACGAATCTGATCAGAAAGTAGAAGTTCATAATCCAAACACTCTTAGAATTTATAGGAATTGACTAAAATCTTGTGAGAAATGAGTTCGAATTTATGTTTCTGAAATTCGATTATAAAGGCGAATGGAAAACTTCTTGAATTTGATCAATCTAACGATGAACAATATTCGAGTAAAATCGCTCTGATATTTCAACGTTTAAATCAAACAAGTGAAGACGAAATCTTCAATAATAATGATTTATCCATGGAAATGGAGGATTTTCTCAGTTTCATCAGCGATCGGATCGAACTGAAAAATTTTCCGAAATATCGCGGTGATCTCGATGTGAAAACCAATGAACACGGCATTTATTCGTATTTTACGACTTTTCAAAATCATCAAATCATGTTTAATGTTGCTCAGATGATTCCGTTAGATAAAAACAATCGAAATTTTATTCAAAGAAAAGGTTTAATTGGGAATGCATTAATCTGTGTTGTTTTTCAAGAAGGAGGCGCAACATTTCAACCGGATTTTATTCTTAGCAAAGTCACACAAGTTTATATCACTGTTCAACCAATCAAAATCGATTCTCAACTTTATTATAAAGTTCTTATTTCCTTTGCATTGCGCGACATGAATATTTTCTTTGGTTTTTAGATCGAAATTTGGCGTCGTAATAGCATTGAACCAATCAGAGTACCGTCTGTTGGAATTATTGAAGTAAATGAATCCTTTCGAAGTTATTTTTTAACATTATTGTTAAATACAATGAATATTATTTTGAAAAACGAATATTTCGCTAAAAGAATCATTGAACCACGACAACAATTGAGATCAGATTCAATGGATAAACTCTCTCAATTGTTTTCTTCATATTCTAAGCCAATACCTGTCAATCTCACACAACAAGTAGCTCAACATCAACATAGTGGACTAATTCCCAAAATATTAGAAGCATTTTCAACACCTCGTCATGACACAACGAAGAAACAAATAGGAAAACCAAACTCATGGGTAACAAATTATGGAAAAGTGAAACGTTACTTATCAACGGTAAGATGAAGTTTTCGTCGGATCTTTCTGATTGTTTTTCTCTTAGAGTTCAAATAATTCAGCAACGACAGATCTTGTTGAGAATCGTGCACAACTATTAAATCCCAATTTTGAAAGATCAATTTCATCGGAATCGATTTCAAGTTTAGTTACGACTTTACCACATCATATAGGATCAAATACGGAAAAGTAATCTTTTCATCAAATACTTTCTTTTATCTCAAACAGTTTGTTTAGATCATTTGGAAGTCATCCCAATTTGAATATTGAAGGACAATCAGTTCAAATTTAAAATTTAACTTTTTGATTATTAATCGCGCAATTTCACTAAAATATCTTGTAGAACTAACTCACTGATATCGATTATAAATGTTGCAATTGAGCAAATCAAGGAGTCAATGATTACCGAGACAAAAGGCACTCGAATTTTTTTGGGAAATTTTTTTCTCTAATTATAATTGTTTCATCCGATGCTATGTAGGCTGCTCTCAACACAGTATGGAAAAAGGTACATTTCTATATTATTTAAGGTGTCAATCATGACTATCGAAATAAACCAACATAAAATACGAAATTCTGTGGTATTCGTACGAGAACTGAGCCATGGTTGTTTGTTTGAGAAGGTGGAAAGTGTAGGGCGAAAACATTTTATAAATGAATTCTCAAACAGCTTATCATTTTACCATTTCTCTCAATGCAGATGGCAACATAATGTTTATTCAACACAAAAAAATAAAATCGAAGTGCTCTTTTTTGCATTTAAAATTTTCGACAGATGTACGATGAAATAGTTTCAAAGTACTTAAAAGAAAAAAAAAGAAAAAACAGCCATCGTAGCGAAATGTTTTGTCACACAATGTATCGGACGAACAAACTCAAATCAAAGTTTAACGTTTGTTGTTTTTAATCACGTGCACAACTGATGGTTGAAGTAGAGAGAATCTATAGTTCCCATCCATTTCTACGTGTTTATATTAATACTTGCAATACACGGGTTGTGCAAACATTCGAAGGAACAGTAAAACATGCGTGACATGAAATTTTAACTCTCTCTTTACTGTCTTCTCAATGAAATAACTACTTGTTTTGCTCGATTCTTAGATAAGTTAATATAATTTATTTTCTTGAACATCAATTATGTGGAAACTATTCGGATTGGCTGGAAAAACTCAATCAAGATCAGCTGGTGGTGATGACGATTCGTGTGACCCTTCGGCAGAGGATTCTGATACATATAAACTCACGTTGAGAATTATCTCTGTATTTGTCCTTCTTGTCCTATCCCTGCTCGGTGCTTCTCTTGCGATTATCTCGTCCCGAGTGAAACGTCTGCACATTAATCCTGTGATAATCAACACAGGCAAATTTTTCGGGACAGGGTATAAGCGTTAGGTATACTAAGTTATATGTTGTGAGTTACTTTTGTAGAGTCATTTTGGCAACAGGACTCATACACATGCTACCATCAGCCACAGAAGCACTCACCGATTCCTGTCTATCAGAAGATTGGAGAGCTTACGGAGCATATGCAGGTCTTTTTGCTATGTTGGCTATACTTGCCATGCAGCTTATCGAATTTTTTGCTCATCACCAATTACATCGAGGATCGAACAAAGCCGATCCACAACCAGCTGAAGCGCCTGTCGAACATTGTGGGGAAGAAGCAGGTCATAGTCATGGTTTATCGCTTCTACAAGAAAGTTATAATCATAAGGTGAGCACCTACCTGCTCGAATTCGGTGTCGCTCTCCATTCGGTTCTCATTGGTGTGGCATTAGGCACTGAAAATGGTTCAACTTTTGTTGCTCTCTTCATTGCACTCTGTTTTCATCAGTTCTTCGAAGCGATCGCGCTCGGAGCACAGATTTCACGGTTGAATATTAAGTCCATCGTGCCAGCCATCTTTATGATTATCTTTTTCACTTTAACCACACCGGTAGGTATTGCTATTGGTATTGGAATTCATTTCGGTACGTACAATCCAAAGTCAGTAGCCGCATTGATGGTGAATGGAGTGTTGGATTCAGTATCAGCTGGCATTTTGATTTACGTGGCACTGGTCAATCTAATGGCTGCAGAGATGGGTGTTGGAGCACATGCATTTTTTGCTTTGAAAAAACGATTCAAAGTTTTATATTTTGCTGCATTGTATCTTGGTGCGGCTCTCATGGCCGTTATTGGACGTTGGGCATAAAAGACCTTGAACTTATTTGCTTAGTTCCAAATAGAGAATATTTTTTCCTTTAAATCAAATAAATAGTTAGACCATATGAGTCATATATCTATATTGGAATAAACTAAGTGGACGAAGAAGAATAAATTTGTCTCACCAGTAAGAAAACTGAAAACGAACGTCGACTGAAATTTAATCTACTTTCATGGGCTTATATAGTGACACAAATGTTGATTCGTTGATCACAGGGGGTGCCGTTTGCTTCTGTTCTACAGAGAAAGAACATTTTGTTTACTTTGATAGGCACCCCCTGTATTGTATGATGACGTTCTCGTTAAACGTAGTCGTCTCTGACGATCAACAAAAATGTCCTTGCACAACTTCTAAACACTTCTCTTGAAGACTCATCATAGTTATTTTTCACGTCAATTATCCAAATTCGTTTCTATTTACTGAGAAGTAAGATGGTTGTGAAAGCGACTCTTAGATTTGTAATAATGACCTGACTTTGAAGAAGTGCTTCATAAAACAATATTAAAGTCACATTCATTAGGTAATATTTAATCGAGCAAAGATAGCATCTTGTATTCGATCGATTTCATTCCTTCTTTTATCGAGCTACGATAAGCCACACAAATTTTTCTTCGCTCTTCGTCTCTCTCTCAGCTACTGACAGTGAGTCACCGGCACCGGTACGATTGCTGCAATAAATGGAGCAGAACGCTGGTGGCGTAGGATCGCAACAAGCTGAGCTTCTCGTCGGTTTCCAGGAGGCAACTCCCATCAACAGAACAGATATTACTAATAATCAACATCAACAAATTAATCAAAACTCACTGAAACGAGCCAAAGAAGGTGATGATTCATTTGAGCGTGAACATCGATTGGTTTCGAGCAACAACAAATACTTTTATAATAGTAATAATCGTCCAACAACCACCACATCTACAACTACATCTTCTGGACGTATTGGTACAACTGTTGGTGCACGTCAAGCATCCTTCCCTCCTTTCAAAATTAATTTTGTCAGTGACGAAGTTCCATCCGAATTAGCTATCATTAAGGACATTAACAAGAACTGCAAAATCAGTTTGTCCTATGGGCGATTTTCGTCAACAGGGAACAAGAAAAGTTTTCTTCTTTATGCAAATTCGAACGACCAATTTGAACGATTATTAAACAAGAACGTATGGCCGATCACTATCTGCTCTCACGACTACATTCTAGATATTCCATCTAAGGTGCCAACTTCATATTCCTTAATTGCAACGGGTGTTCCGGCTCAATGGGATCTAACGGATTTCGAGCTAGATGTTAAAAAGCAACATCCATCAATTATTAAAGTCGAGCGAATGATGGTAAGGGGTGGTACTCCCATCTCTAAAGTTCGCATTGACTTTTCCTCTAATCAAGATGTTCAAAAACTTCTCAAATGCAAACGATTACTACTGGATGATGAAAATACTTCTTTCATGGTTCAACAATATTATCCACCATTTAAAATCCTTCGTTGTTACAATTGTCAACAATACAATGATCATGTCGCAGCAAACTGCCCACATAAAGACAATCCAGTCTGCTTTAGATGTGGACAAAATCATCCATACAATCCTAGCTGCTCGAATGCCATCTGTTGTGCAAATTGCGGAGAAGAGCATCTTGCTGGGAATCCTAATTGTCGAGTCAAAATTGCAGAACGTATCAAATGCAAATCAAATACAAACACATCAAATGAATATCAAACATCTACAACCAAAACAACACCCAATGCATGGACAAATACAACATCTAAATACATCCCTGTTTTCGACTGTCAACCATCAACGACAACTACTACTTCAACAACAACAGTAGAAAATCCAAAAAGCGATATATCAATCGAAATCTCAAATAAATTAGATTTAATCTTGAACAAAATCAATCATCTAACTGATGAATATGTTAATCTTAAAGCTAACTTCAACAACGTCGAGCAACAAATCAGATCGTGTCAACAAGTGATTAACTTATTCAAGATTTTTATAACTGAACAAATGTGTCCACTGATTATGGAGGTTGGCGAGGGAGTAATGGGAAAGAAACAAGACATGAACAAGAAAAAACTTCGTCCATTGATTTCAAATTTTAGTGAAGGTCTTGAACTATTGACAAAGTCGTTCGAAATAAACTCCATTCAACCATCGTCGTATGAATCCATCAGCGAAGATCTTTAATCCTCATCCAAATCTTAACTATTCATTTAGCATCCCCGTAAACTGTCTAACGAAAGCCGAAGAAAACATCTTGAAAGCAGTAATACAAGAGTGGACAAATGTATTCAGTCTTGACTCTCTACTAAACAATTGGTCCGAATACCGTAATAAATCAGCATTACTGATGAACCCCAANAAATAAACTTAGCAAAAGAATATTACCAGTTTTATTAAATTTATCTCATAAAAAAACTAAAATAAAAGGATTAGTGTTATTCATTTTCGATTGATCCTCATTTCCAGTATGACTTGATTCGAGAAAAAGTCCGATAAAGAACTTTATGGGACAAAACGGATTATCTAGCATTAGGTTTAAAATCAACATAATACTTCCAGTTCGGTTGTCTAATAATTAATTTGGGAAGTACAGTTATTTATTCGACTACTTATGGCATCAACGTTCGGGAAAAATGACGATTGATTAAAGATTAGTATTATCATTTTGATTTTTGTACAAAATAATTTGATTCAAATGAGAAATAAGTTTTTTCTGAACAGGGATCTATTTTTTCGAGTAGTAAAGAGAAGAAGATCTAACTAAATACATGTAGAAACGAGTCAAAACTTGTCTATCACAAGGATTTATTATTTTTCTAGTTATTTGCTCTTTGATCTCAGGAAAATTCTATCGTTTCTTCTTCTGAAGATCACTACGACTTCATCTAAAATTTATGTTACCTTTAAAGATCCTTTAGATCAACTGTCTAGTACAGCAGATTACAGACAACGTCTAAAAATGCTGAAACAGCAATAAAATTCCGTTGTTATGAAGGAAGAGAAACTATTACTAAGGGTATTAAACGGCATTAGAGGTTATTCGACGGTAAAATCGCGGTTTTTTTTAGTATTTTTGAATATTTTTTAAGCAAAAAAGACTGTTTTAATGGATTCATGGTCCACATGTATAATTAGCAGGGCAGCTCTGCCTATTTTTGCTCTGCCCTGCCCTGTGGACATCTCTGGTATCTACTATAAATAAAAGCAGATTAATCATCATCTTCTTGATCTAAAAGGTCGGTATTAATCTGTTCGGAATATTGTCGATGTGTTTGAATAATCAAATTTCAACTATTGAATTAAAGTTGATTTCCATCACTTTGATAAAAAAATCTTAGTCTGTTTTGGTTATGCAAAGAGGGTAATTATTTCAGAGTTTTATTGTGAGATGACATTGAATATTAAAGAAAGAGAAACAAAAATGAATAGAGAGATATAGAAGCGAGAGTCATAAAATAAGTAAGATACACAGAGTTATCTCCTCTCGATAAACATTCTGGTCTAATCTAAGTAAGTTTTATAAGTTATTGTGACTCACGATAGAATAACGACTCCATCGTGTTATCTTGTAGTTCTCAATCTTTGTATATGTGTACAATCGTTTCGTCTTTTGTACAAATAAACAATAGTGAACTCGTAACAACTTTAATAACTCATAAGAATTTAGTTAGTGTTCTCTTCAGCTCACTCCCAAATTACAAAGTTGTTGTACATATATTTTATTCTGTTACTTGAGAGTATCGCTATAGAATACTTTTTGGGTGTGATACGAATACTGATTTAGCACGATGCTTTGCTTTTGATTAGTCATGTGTCTCATTTAAGTTAAACAAATCTAATTCGCGTCACTATAAATTGTTCACTGATTATTCTGAAAGCTTTGTTATTGTTCATATGAATACTATAAAAAAATTAATGAACCAGTGTGCCGACTACGGTATAATACGAGAGTTGATCAAGAGAAGAGTATAGGAAAAGCAATAAAAGTCTTATGGGATGTAAGTACTTTGTAACAGCAGATGAATTGTATACTTTGACTTGTTATTTACACTCTGCGAGTATCAAACAAATAAGAAAACCATTGATTAAAGTTCAGTCTTTGGATAATTACAGAAGTATGCAACTCTCAATTAAAAATAATGACTTACATTCAACAGCTTCATGTACTGGCAGTATTGATATTGTCATTCATCAAACATGAATGGAGTTTATCTTGATTGTGAGATGTGACATTAATGAAGATGAAAAAAGCACACACATCATCATCAGAAAATGGCACCTATATGTGTAGAGAATGGAAGGGAAGTAAAATATATTGAGGAGAAAAATCATAATTATAGCGATTATATATGTCAAGAGAACAAGTTGAGCAACTTTTATAATTTCTTCTAAATTTACTGCAATAAATCTGTATGATATCTTCCACAGCACATTGTATCAGGTTCTTTCAAAAGAATACATTGATAATATGTTTATTTGATAACAGGTTAACTCGAGAAAAAAGATTTTGATGTACTACACACGTGTAGTGTAATACTTGCTCTTTGTCTATTATCGTGGTGCGAAAAAAAGAGTAAAACTCATATGAGATGCTTTATCATTCTCATTTGATGTTAGAGAACATAAATCAATACGATTATGACATTGTTCATTACTAAAAGATAGGAGAAATGAAGAATTTACAGTTAAAAGAAAATCTTTCAGTTAAACGTATTAATTGAAGAATTTCCCATATTTTATGAAAATTACTTGTTCTATCATATTTATCGAATATCCCTTTTAGAGTTTAGAATTGATGGCTCAAACCATAAATTTCAATCCGAATTGTTCGAAGTTGTTTCGAACTTTGATAATCATTGTTACTAGTTTATCACTCGGTTTCTATCTCGCATCTTTTGAACGTGTTGAAAAAGTACAAAAATTGTCTTCTTCGTCGATTAATATAGTCGATACAACTCAACCTTTAACAACAAACATCACATGTGTCAAAACCAAAAAACTGTTTGATTTATATCATTCAACAATTTGTGTACATGACTATGAAGATTATGTTAGTGAAATAGTTCGTAAAGATCACATTTGGGAAGAAGATTATATTGTTCGTATATTACAAATACTTATTCGAAATCCAAGTTTAGATATGATCGATATCGGAGGTAATATTGGTACCTATACAATGTTTACTGCAGGAGCACTTGGTCGTTTTACGTTAACAATTGAATGTTTTAAACCAAATGTTGAACGTATTATTCGTGCTGTTCAGATAGAAAATGTTCATAATCGTGTTGTTATTGTTCATCGTGCATTGTATTCGAAATCTGGAGAATATATTCAATTGTCTCAAGAATCTCCTTCGGGATTGCAAATTAAAAATGCAATTTCCAAAAACTCACAGGATGATTATATTGTTCAAACAGTTCAACTTGATGATTTACTTCCTATTCTAATTCAACGAAATGTTCGTGCTGCGATTATTAAAATTGATATTGAAGGTTCGGAAGTTTATCTTTTAGAATCAGGACGAAAAGTTTTTCAACAAATCGACATTCAATTAGTTATGATGGAATGGGGAAATGGTTTACGAAAGACTTATGCAGATCGTTATGAGAAGATTGTTAATTATTTTGAAGAATTACATTATATTACGACAGATGTTGATTGTAATATACTTGATGTGACGGACTGGCGAACAACATGGCCAGGAAGTGTTTATTGGATTAAAGAAATTCATTTTAAAAAAAGTATTTGTTAGAGAAACAATGAACATATTGTTTAGTTATTTTTTGGAAGTCGCTTTACGATATTTAAAAAATTCCATTAATAATCACAGGTTCAAATAAAATGAACAATAAATTGATTTTTATTGAAATAGAATTCTGGTTTTTCGTTTGAAAAGTTTTCATTCACAAATGAAATCAAATCTTTGAATTCGATCGTTTCCCCAATCAACAACACAAAGATTTCGTTTAACATCAAACGATACATTCTGAGGATCATATGCAGTTGATTTTATGCATCTCCTTTCCATTCCCACCCAAAATTATTTCGTCTTCCCCGTTTCCTTCCCGTTAACACATTATTCGATGGTTTCTGTAGGTTGATTCAATTGATTAAGATTAATTCCATAACAATTTCCACCGACAATAACGTACTTTCTTTCTTCGTATCTTTTCTCCATTTCCTTTTTCATCTTCACACTTTATGCTTCTGTTGATCACATAGATAGAGAAATTCATATTTATCCATTGCTAAACTGCAGCAATCGATGTTATTTATAAGACCTTCTTGTTGATTTTGTTTGGTTTCCATTGAATAATTTGATGGTTGTTTCTATCGGCAATGAGAATATTGTGATTTTTGTCAATAAAAATTCCTTTCGAACTTGAAAGTGAATTAAGTTTTTCTTCATATTTAATTCTTTCTATCACAGATCTTCCATTTTGTTTTCATTTGTTGAATTTGATTTCTAAATCAACGGTAGACTTGTTCAGCGATTTTTTTTCCAAAAAAGAAAACAATAAAAAACTCTCAACGAAGAAACTTAGCCTTTCATTTAGATCAACTTGAGAAAGGATTTTGCCGTTGTCGAGTTTTGACTTGACGAAGACTTAGTTTCTCCTAAAATTCTTGTTTTTATATTCGATGATGAACACACATTTGATAAAAATGGAGTCAATGTTTCATACAGAAGAGTTTGTTCTCTCAAGTAAATGATGAATAAACCATTTTCAGCATTACATTTACTCACAGTCTTGAAGAAAATTCCAGGAAAGAGAAGAATGGGATCGAATTGATTTGCCATTTAAATGTTCGAAATTGAAAATTGTTCCATAACATTCATTATTTCCGTACAAGAACTCAACCTCCACCAAATTTTATCAATATCATAATCATCACTTAGATTTCTCCAAACACCACGATAAATGATTTTATGAATTGTTAGGAGTTTAAATAAGACTGTAAGGAACAATTTCAAATAAAAAAAAAAACAAATTTTTAACAAATCTCGATTTTTCGATCAAAATCTTTTCATAACCTGTGATTGGTGTTAAAGATTGATCGGGCTTTTTATCAACGTGAAGAAAACGTTCAGGAATGATTCTTTCAGCCATAAAATAGTTAACAACATATGTCTTGTTCTGAGATATATCCTTGATGTTAGCCACTTTTAAACGAGTTAGATAATGTTTACTGAAAATGAAAACGAAACTCGTAGTGATTTTCTAGAAATACTTCGATTAAGACACAAACATTTATTTCAAATAGAAGAAAATCAAATAAAAAACAACAATCTAATGTACAATTTCTGTTTTGTCTAATCTGAATCTTGATTGATTTGTTCGATATATTGTCGACGATCTGAATAATCAAATTTCAACCATTTCTTTAACACTGAAGTCCAACCCTTTAACAAGAATCGAATATTCGATTGATTTTGATCATAATCAAACTGTCGAAACCAATTTTGTTCAATAAATAAATACAACGCATCAACTGAAGATCGATCGAGAAACGGTTTTCGTCCAAAAGCCAAATAAATCTTTGTCAAAACATTAACAATCAGATGAAAATCATCTTTCCGTTCGCTGTGATCCATACCAAACAATTCTCGTAAACCAATTTCAAACCATGACGATCTCTCCGGTTCGATCAGCTGAATGTCTTTTTCGATAAAAAAAAAATGAATGTTTTTTTGACTCGCACACTACTCAATATAAACAGGTGAACTTACCTTCATCATCAATCTTTTTGCTAATTTTCGTTAGCACGAATTCGATTGTTTTGACTGATTGTTGTTTCCATTGATCGATCGTGAGATTTCGAATTGTATTTGTCACACATGTTTTCGATGGCGCTTCAAGATAATCGTAAAAGAAGATTTCAATTCCTTTGTTCAATATTAATTTATCGAGAAAAAGATCTTTGTATGGATGAGAATGAATGTACGTTTCCATGGCATCTGATAAAGAATCACCTAATGAGTAACGATACAAATCATTACTGATAAGACGATAAACTTGTTTCAATGCACGTAAGGAGAGATTTTCATCAGATGAATTCATGATTAATGAAACTAAGACATTGTTGGTGAAGAGAGAAAATTCCTAAAAGAGAATTTTGAAAATAATCAATCGAATTCGAAAGATACGAACGTTGGCAGCGACATCTTCAAGTGCTTTTTCGAGTAAACCTTTGTCTTGTTCATCATCGGGTAAATTCATTTGTGCGATGAATGCTTTACGTACTGAACCAACATCAGGCATTTCATTTAAAATTAAATCTTCGAAGATTGGATTATTTCGAAGAATTTTCTAAGAAAAAAAAACCAAGACTTTAAAAACGAGAAAGACGTCACGTTAGAAAACGTACTGCTACGTTGAATTTTGAATTGAATTTCATTGCTAACTTCTGTAATTTCGAACCAACTTCTTCGTGATCAATATTCATCAAGTGTTGATCTTTGTTTTTGTCAAAATAAGCTCGAAATATGTGTTGAATCTGATAAAGAATTGAGGGAATTTCATGACAATATTTTCCTTGTCTAAAACCAATGTTCAACAAAATAAAAATTCACAATTCGAAAATCTCCTTACTTATCGATGATCGATTTCAACATATTGAGATTTTTCTTTACTGTTGATGTTGGTTTTCTCCATTTTTTCATACATTTTTCTTTCTTTTCAATTATCAATTTCAGTTGATTGTAATCATCAATATTCTGTTTGTGTTCATCAATTGCTTCTCGAATTAATTTCTTCGCTTCATCCACATATCCAAGATGATATGCACAAATAGATAATCGATAAAATCCTTTCGCATTTTTATTTCTCTGCAAGTTTAACGATTGTTTGGCATCTTTGTATCCATTATAGAAGTCTTTGTCTTGGATATGAGCAGCTGATCGATTGGAATATAACAAATACAAAGGAACATCATCATGTGAATTTTTTTCAATAAGTTGAATGGCTTGAGAATAAGATTGAATGGCTAATGATGATTGTTGATTAGAATAATATTGGTTTCCTTGATTTTTTAAATCAGATGGTGTTAGAGACATATCGTCGATTTGAAATGACAACGGTTAATCCTTTTCGTTCTATGGAGAGATTTGAATGGACGAAGGAAAGGAAAAAGAACACGTGATGAGAGAAAAGAATTCTTCGAAATTTATTTGACTTTATGTTCGAAAAAGTGTTTACAATTTCATAATATAAAGTAAAGCAATAAACGGCGGTGTTACATCTATCGATGTGATGTCAGCTGTATGTGTATGTGGCTGATTGCCACCATCTACCGGTATTGAGTGCTGATGTTGACAACTGCCACATTGATTAAAACTTTTAGTATTGATCCATCGCGGAGGACTTGTATTCAATGGACCTATGAAATAAAATCAATTTTTCGATCTTTCAATGAATTATATACTCACTTGCACTGCAAGGATTACTGTTGATATCATAATATATTGTACCAGTATCTTCAATACCTGTACTACCACCATGTGAATGACTTGGCATTTGTGCTACAGTCAGTGTAGTATCATGTACGGTAACAGTCGGTGTTTGACTTGATGAACCACCAGTTTGTGTTGGTGCATATGTGGAACCGGTACCTAGAACAAGAAAAGTTCAAAAACTTCTCTTTCATCGTGATGTGTGTTTACCGGATCCAAGAACGAATCGATCTCGTAAATCAGGTGTACCTTGTGTACCATCACAAACAGCCCAACCCAAAGGAACAGTTGCGGTAGATCCACTCCTACATCGACTAAGTTATTCAATGAAGATTATATGCTTCTATCAATTACCATAACATAATCATCCCAGGTGGTACAAGAGGATACACTTTAAACAACAAATATCATGTTTTACGAAAATTTGAAAGAAAATATTCACTTGACGTAGATGTTGACGAAGTGGTGGATGTCGTTGATTCTGTTGTTGTTGTTGTTGATGTAGATGTTGAAGTAGTTGTTGTTGAAGTAGTGACATCCTCTAAAAAGTATTCACATATTAATTTAACTCCGGATCAAAAATGTTTTTTTTTCAATATAATATGCACTTACTGCGTAATAGTTCGTTGAGATATAAAGTGAGAAAAACACCGAGTACAATACCACTTACTAATGCACCGATGAACACCCAAGTGAGGAACCAAGTACGATTGGCTCGTTCCTCATTTTGAGACGAAGGCGAGTTTTGAACTTCTTTCATTATTAATAAAACATGAGATCACCAATGTTGCAAAAAAACAAATAACTGCAGTACTTCGTTTCATTAAGCATATTTTGATTTCTGTCGACAATTTCATTGTGAAAAGACTGGATTTCTATGCAAATTTTCTATATAGTTACGAGGCTTCCGTCTGATTCATTTCGTGCGATTCGATCCTTTCCTTTGTTTGCTACGTATACCATTATTAAAGTATATTTTTTGATAGATTCTATTTTTGAATTCTCTAAAAAAACACAATTGAGAGTGAAGGGACTTTTCGTAGGCAGCCGTTTGTTGCTCGATTGGAAAAGGTCAAGTACAGGCTAATTCGATATATGTGCAAATGAAATGATGCGTATCGGTCACGAGTTGCTGTGCGAGATGAGATATTTAGATGATTCGAAGTAGAAATGTCGAAGTTTGAACAATTTCCTGCTGAAGTGTTTTATCTTATTCTTGATTATTTGAAAACATGGGAGATTTTTTACTATTTTTACAATAAATCGCAACGGATGAGTATGCTTTTACTCAATTATTCACGATATCGAATAGATTTTCGTTCAATTTCACGAGACAATTTTGATTTCTTTCTGGAGAAAATTCGTCTAACGAACATCATTTCCTTAATTCTTTCTAACGATAATCAAACTCCAGGTCAAATTCCATTATTTCTTTCTTTAATAAACCCTTCTGATCTCTTTCGACTTCATTATTTATCTGTTCTTCATATTGAAGAACATCATCTACTAGAATTTCTTCGTCATCTCTCTCGAAAAAATCTCAAAGCTCTAACCATTCATTGTCAACCTTCGTTTCGTTTTCGTAATCACGGCGTTGAACTTCTTTGTCTTCTCTCGTCACTTATCTTCCAATCAAAACTTCGTTATCTTCATTTCAACTTCTGGATCTTCGAAATGAAAAGTCTCACTTGGTCAATTCAATCGACTCTTCACTCTCTTCGCACCGATCTTTCATCATTTTCCGAATATTGTCTTATCCTCAATTATTTCGTCAATCTAAAAACTTTAATCTTAAACAAATGTTCGATATTCGATATTGAAAATATTTATTTATCTTACAAGTTCATGCCTCCGTGTCATTTACAATTGAAATCTTTATCAATAGACAAGATTTGCTATGTTAAAATGGAGACTTTATCATTGTTTTTATCAGTTACACCGTCGATTAAGTATTTGAAAATCATCGGTTGCGGTTCGTTGAGAAATCAGGCATTTAACGGAAATCAATGGAAGGATTTTATCGAAGGAAAATTACGTTCTCTCGATAAGTTTCAGTTTTATTTTCAAACGCAACGAAATCCTCAAGTTGACGTTGAAAATGTTTCATCGATAATAAATTCTTTTTCTGATTCATTTTGGATTAACAGCAAACAATGGTTTGTCGCATGTGATTTCATTCGAAATCTTCGTCAAATTCGACTTTATTCAATTCCGATTTGTCGAACGGATTTCTATTTAATTCCTCAATGGAATTTATTCTCACGGTCAACGTTAACTTCAACTACAACGATGGAACAAATACAGAAACTTCAAGTTAATCTTTCGTCTGGTATGACAGACGAAAACTTAATCCATAAAATATCCTTTCCAATCCGAGATTTATTTGACTTATCTTCTCCTTCGATATTTCCGCAAGTTGATGAGCTTCATTTTGAATTTGATGATCAATGGCCAATGAATTTGCACGAGTTAATCGCAATTGATCTCTCGAGAATTGTGAAAGTTTCTTTGAATATTTATTTTGATCAAGATTCTCGCCATCAAGTTGTAATCGATGCGTTAAACGATGTATTTCAACGTATGCCAAACATTCATACTGTTTACAATATGAATCGCACAGTAAATGCGAAAATTCTTTGTTCAATTGTTCCTTCGCATATCCAACATTTACAAACAAAAGTCAAGGAAATTCATCAAATGAAAATCATTTTACAGCATTTTCAGTGTTTATCGAGCGTAGAATTCGATTTTCTCGCTTGTTCGCCACATTTTCCAAAAACTATTATCAAATGGCTAAAAAAGAAACAGATTTTATTCGAGTTTTACTGTACACAATATTCTTTACAATTATGGCTTGACAACAACTAAAGTGAACTATGTTTGAATGGTTGGAAACTCTCTGTGTAGTTTTGTTTGTTCTTGAAAAGTTTTTTCGAAAATCAATAAATGAAGGTGACGATGGAGAAACAATACCGATAGCATAACAGTGATAATACTGCCTTTTGACATCGGTCGAAATTATGTAAGCTTTGGAATATTTCAAAGCCGATGCATAGAATGCGATCAGAATCTGTGACTGTCGATATTACTTTTTTTCTGCATTGAAATTCCAATGTAGAACATTGACATTTTAATAAGAGTGTCTGTTTATTCAAGAATAAAATAATAGATAAGTAAAAATAGACCAAAAAGCAGTAAACTTGATGAATTTTGAAAAGAATATTGCCGTGCGATATGCTAATTGTGTATTTGTGTCCTTTCAAGTAAAACTTCCAACTCTTCTTTTGCATTAGTATGTGCCTGTGTGATGTGCTGCATTGTTTCCTTTGCTTCTGTTTGCAGTTCTTCACATTTATCAATGACGAGTTGGCACCGACGTGACCCAAACTTGCAAGTTCCATAGCTTGTAAGAAAGAGAAACGACAAAGCTGCAGATTGATTAACTAATGTAGCCTTTGCAATCGCAAGCGCTGTTCCTGCCTCTTTTACAGCTTGAGCTCCTGAGTATAATGCGCCTACTCCTAAACAAATGCTGGCGCCCAGAGCAACATGACCAGCCAAATCGACTCTATCCTTTCTTTTCAAAGCTTTGTTGTGATGATATATCACTTGACGTATGGTTGATTGTAATTTATCTTGTGCTGTGATGTTGGCTAGTTCAAGACGAGTAAAAGCGGCTCTGATTCTAGCTGCGCTTATGTTTGAACTTTGAATAGCTGCAATCAAGTTGCTGATGGCTTCATCAAAATTCCTCTTCACTGGCTCGAAGGTGACTTTTCCCAATTCTTTGAGCTGTTGACTCGCACCATAGGCAATATAAAGACCATAAGCAGCTATAGTTAGAGAAACAGCCACATTAGCGGTCAGAAAGGCCGGCGAATTGATAATGGTCTCGATTTGGCTGCGCAGGTTGATCACTTTCCGAAGACATTCAGAGCAACTGTCAGGAGCATATTTACGGATGAATTCGATAATTTGGCTCCATTTAACAGTAATTCCTGCAATTGCAATTCCACCAGCGGCCACTTTGAATTTATTAGCAACTAGAGCATTCCAAATTCGATCTTCGAGGCTCTCGTGTTTATGGCGTTGAGCAGCCAAATCGCTTTGATCTTGAGACCAACGCTGGAACTGCTGTATACCTTCCGCAATCCATTGATCCAATTTAGTCACAAGTGGTTCGAGAAGCTTAGTGTTTAAAACTACATTAGCAGCAACTCCTACTCCTAATGCGACAGCTGCATTCATAGGGCGTTGATCAGAATCAGGATTAGCAGTGTTCATTAAGGTATAGGTAACGACTGAAACTGCTTCAGTGCCGATAATACCAGTTGCAGAACGAGTGGCGGGACGAACCAATGAAGTGGGCTGTTGTTCGAGGGACGAGGCAGAAGTACAAGGTGGAGCGGATAAGTCGTCATCACTATGAGTGCCGACATTTCTGAGAACGTGGTTCACCTTGGACAATGGTAACAGATGATGTAACTGAAAAGAAATTATGCTATCAATTTATATTGTCACAGTGGTAAAAATTTCCTCCGTTGTTTGTTTTCTTATAGTCAATACCTTGTGCCTCCATAGACTACATAGAAGAGATAGCGAGAAAGAAAAGATGCTTGAAGAAGTGTGTGAAAAGAAAGAAATCAAATGGAAATAAAATAGTTATGTGTTACCTATGAGTAACATTAAATACATAACGTCATCAATGGAAGAAAAGAATCTAAATAATGTTTATGCAAAATATATTTCGATCTCTCCTGTACTACTTCACCAAATAGATCAAAGCTTTTTTTCAAAATAAGTAATGACGAAAAGCTTTCATCAAAATCAAAATCATCAATAGATTGAAAACACTCGACAATATCATTGACACGTCAGTAAGAAGTGATCTCTCTCGAGATCTTAACAGATCGAAATTAAAGTGTTTTTATGTAAATTAATTCACTACAAAATATACTTGTAGAAGATTTTCCAGTTTTAATTCATAGAATTTTTAGAAAAACAGAAGAGTATATTCATTTGCACTCAAGATATAATAACAGTTTTTTCTTTTTACAATGCAATGCACTGTCACGATGATGAAAATGTGAAGATAAGTGTCACTTTGTTATCGAATCAGGTACTTCTCCGTCGTCATTTTCTCTTTGAAATGTTTATCATGAAGGCGATTTTCATTCAAGTTTGTATAATCCAATTGTACTTCTTAGTTGTGACATCGATTCAATTAAGTCCGTGTGCCAAATGGAATTCAACAGGAAGGACAACGGCTGGCACAGGCACTGCTGGTTCGACTTCAACTCAACTCGATTGGCCTCATGGAATTTTTATTCATCAGCAAACCAATTCTTTATATGTTGCCGACTCGGAAAATAATCGTGTACAAGTATTCCAATTGAATGACCAATCAATGCTTGCGACAACTGTAGCATTCAATGTATCGGATCCAACGAGTGTCTATGTCGATGACGATGAGAAAGATGGACCTATTCTATATGTTGCCATGGAAGGAAGTAATCGGGTAGAAAAATGGACGAAAGGAGCCACCGTTGGTATACAAGTGGGAAGAGAATGCCGTGATTGTTCAGGTGTTTGGTTAGATAAACAAAAGAATATTTATGTTGCGGAAGCAGTACGATTTCGTGTAGTTAAATGGTTATCAACTACACAAGCAGAAATAATTGTTGCCGGAAAAACCGACCAGTTTGGAAATAAAGACGAACTTTTAAATGTTTTAGGAAGTATTTATGTTCATTCGACTGATGGAACAGTTTATGTTGCAGATAGACTCAACAATCGAGTACAAAAATGGACTCAAGGTGCATCATATGGTACTACAGTAGCTGGCAATGGAATTGCCAATGATACTGCTCAATCTCTTGATAATCCAGTCGGTATTTTTGTTGATGAGAGAACAGGAGTTGTCTTTGTAGTCGATACATTTAATGAAAGAATTCAACGGTGGCTTCCTGACGCTCTTCAAGGTGAAACTATCGTTGGTGATTCTGGTAAATTTGATTATATATTCTTGATTTTAACTGTATTTTCATATAGATTCTACTAGTCCATTCAATCAATTGAAAGGTCCGACTAGTATGGCATTTGACAGCGATGGTAATCTCTACGTTAGTGATTCACTTAATCATCGAATTCAAAAATATGCTTTATTGGATAATTCACCATGTTCATCATCATCAGCAGGTAATTGATTATATGTGTAGCTATTTCAATTTCAATTATTTCTTTTATCTTTTTGTATACAGCAATCTTTTCAGTATTAAAGTAAGTTAAACGAATGATTATATGGTTTCTATGAAAATTCTGACATTGTTTTAGATCAAAAATTATCTTTTTATTACCATTGTGGTTCTATTCTCGATATGAATAATCCGAAATACTTTTCTTCTATTTGATGCACTTTTATTGAAATAAACAGCCCCGAAAAGATCACCGAAGAAAAGGCGAGTATTCAGTAAAATTCGGTTACGTTTGAGTGATTCCGTTTATTATGACACATTCTCGACTCTTGACAAAAGAAACAATATTCTAATAACGTATCTTTGTTCGCTCGTTACATTCTACACATCTAAAGGTAAGCAAAAAAAGAAAATTTAACGTTTTGTTACATACTCACATGGGTGAATCAAATGTTGATCAAACAACTAAACAATCCGATGAAGAACGTCTTCCAGCATTTATTCTTGAAAAATGTCTCACTGATAATATCCAAGAAGAACAAATCGAATATAAATTAAACGCACCTTTGTGCATTTCAAAAATTTATAAAAATGAATTTTTTCCTTATGTATGTTTATGATTTGTTTTTGTTGTATATTCATTGATTATTTGTTAATCTAGTTTCATTTGAATTACTCAGGCACATTTGAAAATCAAGAGTTATTTTTCGCTTCGATTCGAGTGATTGCGAAAGAAAGTAATGAAGAAGAAGAAGAAGAAGAAGAAAGAATTGTTCAAGCATTGATTCGGTAAGTTACACTGAACATGGAAGATAAAAATAACATTTTTTTAAGAACGAAAACTAATAATTACCATGTATCAAATAAAATGAACATAACAAATGAAGAAAATCTTCTACGAATGTTATTCAACAAAGTTCAATTACAACCAATTCAGCATTATGAAATCATTCGTCATATTAACGTAAGAAAACTTCCAACAAAACTCATGACAATCAGTGAAAATTACACGATATAGAAAAGTTTTCTCGACAAAGTTAAAAACTAACGGAAATTGTCACGAGGGAGAATTTTCAACACATCTAAAGATTCAACAAAGACGAATCTAATCAGAAAATAGAAGTTCATAATCCAAACACTCATAGAATTTATAGGAATTGACTGAGATCTTGTGAGAAATCAATTCAAATTTATGTTTTTGAAATTCGATTATAAAGGCTAATGGAAAACTTCTTGAATTTGATCAATCCAATGATGAACAATATTCGAGTAAAATCGCTCTGATATTTCAACGTTTAAATCAAACAAGTGAAGATGAAATTTTCAATAATAATGATTTATCCATGGAAATGGAGGATTTTCTCAATTTCATCAGCGATCGGATCGAACTGAAAAATTTTCCGAAATATCGCGGTGACCTCGATGTCAAAACCAATGAACATGGAATTTATTCCTATTTTACAACTTTTCAAAATCATCAAATTATGTTTAATGTTGCTCAGATGATTCCGTTAGATAAAAACAATCAAGATTTTATTCAAAGAAAAGGTTTAATTGGAAATGCATTAATCTGTGTTGTTTTTCAAGAAGGAGGTGCAACATTTCAACCGGATTTTATTCTTAGCAAAGTCACACAAGTTTATATCACTGTTCAACCAATCAAAATTGATTCTCAACTTTATTATAAAGTTCTTATTTCATTTGCATTGTGCGACATGAATCTTTTCTTTTGTTTTTAGATCGAAATTTGGCGTCGTAGTGACATTGAACCAATCAGGGTACCGTCTGTTGGAATTATTCCAGTAAATGAGTCCTTTCGAAGTTATTTCTTAACATTATTATTAAATACAATGAATATTATTTTGAAAAAAGATTATTTCTCTAAAAGAATCATTGAACCACGACAACAATTGAGATCAGATTCAATGGATAAACTCTCTCAATTATTTTCTTCATATTCTAAACCAATACCTGTCAATCCAACACAATCAGTAGCTCAACATCAACATAGTGGACTGATTCCGAAAATCTTAGAAGCATTTTCAACACCTCGTCATGACACAACGAAGAAACAAACAGGAAAATCAAACTCATGGATGACAAATTATGGAAAAGTGAGACGATATTTATCAACGGTAAGATGAAATTTTCATCGAGTCTTTCTGATTGTTTTTCTCTTAGAGTCCAAATAGTTCAGCAACAACAGATCTTGTTGAGAATCGTACACAACTACTAAATCCCAATTTTGAAAGATCGATTTCATCGGAATCAATTTCAAGTTTAGTTACGAGTTTACCACATCATATGGGATCAAATACGGAAAAGTAATCTTTTCATCAAATACTTTCTTTTTTCTCAAAAAGTTTGTTTAGATCATCTGGAAGTCATCCAAATTTGAATATTGAAGGACAATCAGTTAAAGTTTAAAATTTAACTTTTCAATTTTTAATCGCGCTATTTTACTAAAATATCTTGTAGAACTAACTTATTTGGATTAATTATAAACATTGCAATTGAGCACATCAAGGAGTCGATGATTACCGAGACAAAAGGCACTTGAATTTTTTTGGGGAATTATTTTCTCTAATTAATTGTTTCTTTCAATTCCATGTAGACTGTTCTCAACAAAGTATGAAAAAAGGTACATTTATATGATATTTAAGGTGTCAATCATAACTATCGAAACAAACCAACATAAAATATGAAATTCTGCGGTATTCGTAGGAGAACTGAGCCATGGTTGTTTGTTTGAGAAGATGGAAAGTTGTAGGGCGAAAACATTTTATAAATGAATTTTCAAACAGCCTATCATTTTACCATTTCTCTCAATGCAGATGGAAACATAATGTTTATTCAGCACAAAAAAATAAAATCGAAGTGCTCTTTTTTTGGTATTCAAAATTTTCGACAGATGTACGATGAAATAGTTTCAAAGTACTTAAAAGAAAAAAGAGAAAAAACAGCTATCGTAGCGAGATGTTTTGTCACACAAAGTATCGGACGAACAAACTTAAACCAAAGTTTAACGTTTGTTGTTTTCAATCACGTGCACAACTGATGATTGAAATAAAGAGAATCTATAGTTCTCATCCATTTCTACGTGTTTATATTAATACTCGCAATACACGGGTTGTGCAAACATTCGAAGGAACAGTAAAATATGCGTGACATGAAATTTTAACTCTTATTTTGCTTGATTCTTAGATAAGTTAATATAATTTGTTTTCTTGAACATCGATTATGTGGAAACTATTCGGATTGACTGGAAAAACTCAATCAAGATCAGCTGGTGGTGATGATTCGTGTGACCCTTCGGCAGAGGATTCTGATACATATAATCTCACGTTGAGAATTATCTCTGTATTTGTCCTACTTGTCCTATCACTGCTCGGTGCTTCTCTTGCGATTATCTCGTCCAGAGTGAAACGTCTGCACATTAATCCTGTGATAATCAACACAGGCAAATTTTTCGGGACAGGGTACAAGCGTTAGGTATACTAAGCTATATGTTGTGAGTTACTTTTGTAGAGTCATTTTGGCAACAGGATTCATACACATGCTACCATCAGCCACAGAAGCACTCACCGATTCCTGTCTATCAGAAGATTGGAGAGCTTACGAAGCATATGCAGGTCTTTTTGCCATGTTGGCTATACTTGCCATGCAACTTATCGAATTTATTGCTCATCACCAATTACATCGAGGATCGAACAAAGCCGATCCACAACCAGCTGAAGCGCCTGTCGAACACTGTGAAGAAGAAGCGGGTCATAACCATGGTTTATCGCTTCTGCAAGAAAGTCATAATCATAAGGTGAGCACCTACCTGCTTGAATTCGGTGTCGCTCTTCATTCGGTTCTCATCGGTGTGGCATTAGGCACTGAAAATGGTTCAACTTTTGTTGCTCTCTTCATTGCACTCTGTTTTCATCAGTTCTTCGAAGCGATCGCGCTCGGAGCACAGATTTCACGGTTGAACATTAAGTCCATCGTGCCAGCCATCTTTATGATTATCTTTTTCACTTTAACCACACCGGTAGGTATTGCTATTGGTATTGGAATCCATTCCGGCACATACAATCCAAAATCAGTAGCCGCATTGATGGTGAATGGAGTGTTGGATTCAGTATCAGGTGGTATTTTGATTTATGTGGCACTGGTCAATTTAATGGCTGCAGAGATGGGTGTTGGAGCACATGCATTTTTTGCTTTGAAAAAACGATTCAAAGTTTTATATTTTGCTGCATTGTATCTTGGTGCGGCTCTCATGGCCGTTATTGGACGTTGGGCATAAAAGACCTTGAACTTATTTGTTTAGTTCTAAATAGAGAATATTTTGTCCTTCAAATGAAATAAATAGTTAGACCATATGAGTTATATATCTATATTGGAATAAACTAAGTGGACGAAGAAGAATAAATTTGTCTCACCAGTTAGAAAACTGAAAACGAACGTCGACTGAAATTTAATTTACTTTCATGGGCTTATATAGTGTCACAAATGTTGATTCGTTGATCACAGGGGGTGCTGTTTGCTTCTGTTCTACAAAGAGAACACTTTGTTTACTTTGATAGGCACCCCCTGTGTTGTATGATGACGTTCTCGTTAAACGTAGTCGTCTCTGACGATCAACAAAAATGTCCTTGCACAACTTCTAAACACTTCTCTTGAAGACTCATCATAGTTATTTTTCACGCCAATTATCCAAATTCGTTTCCATCTACTGAGAAGTAAGATGGTTGTGAGAGCGATTCTTAGATCTGTAACAATGATCTGACTTTGAAGAAGTGCTTCACGAAAGAATATTTAATTGAGCAAAAATAACATCCTATTCGATCGATTCCTGACCCCGAATAGTTTTGGCTACAAGTTGATATGGTAAAAAATGTCAAGAGATTGAAGAAAACTAGAAATATTGATACTCGTAAAAATATTGGCGTTTGTAATTGCACATTCAATCATTCGTCTGTTTCGTTTGTAAAGTATCTTATCGGTCACCATTGACTCCAAATTTTTTTGTGTCTATAAAAATATCAATACTATGCGGAGATTTGACATCACCTAATTAAAAGATATTCTGATAATATCGTATTTAGATGAATCGAAAATTAAATGAATGAATCTGCAAGTTCAATGTGACGCGATTTAAATAATGTATATACATTGAAAACTTCATTAAATGTGTTGTATGTGTCAATAAAGATCAACTGAAACAAAATAGTTTGAACAAAATATATCTCACCAAAAAACTTTGCACTGTTGAGACCAAAAGTTAACGAAATATAAATCAATATTTGAAAAATGATTAGAAATTATACTGTGTAAGTATTCGACGACGTTATGAACGTTGATCTGATCGATGCATCAAATTTCTATATAACCTTGTCTTTTTACGCAGTTCACAGTTAGAGACGAGATGGTAGATGTCTAGACAGCTTTGTCTTCTCAGATTTATCAAATTACAAAGTTCTATTCGATTTATAAACTTTTTTTGTCGACACAGTTTCGAAACCAAGAATAGAGAAGATGAACAAAAATTACATGAAAACAACCAAAAGAACAATGATAGATACCTTTCAAGAAATTATCATCGTGTATTTTATATTTTGAAATCAATAGTGCATTAGTCTTATACCAAATAAAACGCATTCAATGTTCTCCAGGTAACAATTTGAACCAATAGTTTCTGAGTTAAAATGTAAAAAAAGGAAACAGTGTTCGTATTTCCAATTCACATCTATAGGTCGTTTTCTAAGCATGCTCTCATCAGCATCTCAGAGTAAGATATCAGATTGCTGGTATTTTGATATAATTCATATTGTCATAACGCTGAATAAATCAGTATAAGAGAACTTTTTCTTCGTATCCATTGTTGTTGACAACTATATATATACGGTATATACATTGAATCTGTTGACCACGATCTAATCAGAAGAGTCCGCACTGATAAAACTGCGCTTCCCCTTATTTCCTTCTCTATGCTCGGCCATCAGAAAGAAGAAAAGGAACGAACGAACGAAGGACACTCAGCATAGTAATAGCAACCGTACTAAAAGAAGTAACAAAAGTCATATAGATCGTCATTGCGGCAACATTCTATTTCTCTTCTGCGCAACCCTACTAAGAAACACTGGAAGGAACAGATGATCTGTTCCTAGCAAAGAGAGCTTTTATTGCGTCATATGATCCAGATTACTCTTAGTCCAAGAACGACGCGGAGAAAAGAGGAAGAAGAAATGAAAGGTCGCGAGAACGAGGTGAAGGGCAAGCAGATTTACTGATAACACATTGTGTCAATCTACGACTGTACATTTTGTCTTTTCTTCTCATGAACCAATAATGACCTTGATATACGTGTAACAATCTATGATTGTGCATTCCTTCTTCTCTCATCCTACACCGATAATGATATGGACTTGCGCTTCTTCCTTCTTGCTTTCCTTTTTCTTCTCTTCCTCTTCTCATGTACGACTACTTCTCGCTTTCTTTCTTTCCTTCTGTTTGTCCTTAGATATCAATCTCTAAAGTTATGTATCCAGCATACAATACGGATACAATTATCGTTCCTGAGTGGAATGATCATATGATATCGATATTAGAAACCCACTCATATGCATGGTATGTTTTGCTTTCTTTGCACACTTACAATAGATAAGCTCTCTCTAGAAGAAACTTTGATCGCATGATTTGTTAGATCCATCATCTTAGCAAATGATAACAGTAGGCTTTATATATTATTTTGAGAGTTTGGTATTTTTCGGTAGCGTAATACTGTATGTACCGAGGGTTATATAAAGACAAGGGAAGTACTGTATCGGAGCGATTTCTTTGGATTAAATAAACGATACATATACTACATCTTCTCTCTTGTATCAGAAAATGTCACAATTGGCGACCCCGTCTACTCGAATCTTACTTCTAACATTCATTAATCTTATTGATTCAATACTTTTTATATTTCTTGACTATGGCAAATGCAGAAGAGAAAAAAGTACCGATCGAAACAGTCGCTCAAGTTACTTAGAACACTTTAACTCAACATGCAAAAGAAATCCTAGCTCTATAAGAAACTTTAGGCAGTATTCAATCTCAACAATCAACTGAAGCACAGCTACAAACCGAAATACGTGCAGTAAGGGAAATACTCGCAGAAATCCGACACCATTTAATCCCACACAATCCTGAATCATCACCTACTACAAAGATCCAACATCATACTCCTTTAACCACAACTCTGAGTACACCAACAATTGTTGTTCCACCTATCTCAAACTTACCTGAAACGTGGGATGAGTTCACCACACAATTCCTTGCACAATTTCATTTACCAATTTGTATTTCGCAACAAGAAAACGAAACCATTAATGAATTTGTGGTTTGTCTGCGCTCACTTTGGCTGGAACAAAAACCGGACGAAAAGGAAACTGATTTTATTAAACATCTGTTATGTAAAATGAAACCTGATATGTTAGCAGTTATGAACGCTAACCGTCCCCAAACCTTATCTAACATCATAACAGAAGCTCAACAAGTGGAAGAAATATTATATTTACGGGATAAAGAAGAGAGACGATGTGCAAACGAACGATCAAAACTAGCTGCCAATACTCCATTATTAACATTAAGTACAAACAACCAATATTCAGCGCGAAACACACCAAATACCTCACCTTTTTCTTTCACACCCACTTGCTGGCGCTGTTATGAAACCGGTCACTATGCTATAATTTGCCCCCTAAACAAAACTCGTCGAACCTTTGAAGTAACAGACAACCTCCAACAGCCATTACCACAACGTGCAAAGAAACAGCTAAGAAGTTTTCGTGAAGCGGGAACACAAAACTCCTATCACCCAAACCCGCAAAGTCCTAAAATGTCATACGTAAATACCATAGACTCCTCCCACAATCATCCCCTTATAATCCACGGAAGGATCGGTGCGTTACCGATTACCTTCCTAGTTGATACCAGCTTTACCCTAACTCTGATCAATTTACAAACCTTTAACTGCCTCAGTCCCAGACTCATCCAATCACGCTACAAGCCACCATCGTCAATCACTACACATGGCCGATCATTCACCACTTACTATAAAATGGGTTGTAAATCTACCTTTCACATTCAATAACACCACTCATTGGCACCTCACTTACGTAGTACCAAATTTATGGCGACCATGTATCATTGGTAATAACTTTATCCGGACACATCAACTTATTATTGATGGCGCACATCAAAATGTCTATTACTGATCTCAACGAATCAGACCCCGTTACCATTCAGTACTCAACACAAATACATCAACCAACCATTATGATACCCTGTACGAAAACCTACCTGATAACGCATCTCACATTCAGATAAATTACAACAAATAGAAAAACCCGACTTATCAAAGTCAATATTAGATGAACATCAACAACAACAGCTGTCAAAAGTTCTGCAAGCATTTCCTCAACTGTTTACTAATACATCAGGGCGTACAAACGTAATAAAACACCATATTGATATACAACCTGGAAGCAGACCATGTAACTCACCTCCTTATCGTTACGCGCCAGCACGTCGAAAAATTATTAAAGAAGAACTTAGTAAAATGTTAAATGACGGTATTATAATCCCGTCTAAAAGTCCATGGGCGTCGCCTGTAGTATTAGCTCCAAAAAAAAAGATGGGACGATGCGCTTCTGCATAGATTATCGAAAACTCAATAATATTACAATACGGGATGCTTATCCATTACCACGCATTGATGATACCTTAGATTCGTTACAACAAGCTCAGTTCTTCTCAATGCTTGATCTACGATCCGATTATTGGCAAGTTGAGATGGATGAAAACAGCAAACCTATTACTGCGTTTGTTACTCATCGTGGTCTCTTGGAATGCACAGTTATGCCGTTTGGTCTTACAAACGCTCCGGCAACGTTTCAAAGATTAATGGATATTGTATTATCGGGACTTAAATGGCAATGTTGCTTGGTATATTTAGATGATATCCTGTATTTTCTGCAACGTTTGAAGAACATCAACAAGACCTACGAAAAGTATTTACTGCTTTATCGGATGCAAACCTTACACTCAAAGCTTCAAAATATAATTTTTGTTTATGAGAAATTAAATATTTAGGGCACCTCGTCACGCCAGAAGGCATCAAACCAGATCCTACACTGGTGGACACAGTGGTCGAAGCCAAACAACAAGTTACAATCAGAGATGTTCAAGCGTTTCTTGGACTCACCGGTTATTATCGACGTTTCATTAAACACTGTGCACAAATGTCAGAACCGCATCTGAAATTATTAAGATGTAATCAAAACTCAACATCATGTTATCTAATACAATGGAACGATGATTGTACCACAGTATTTAATACTTTAAAACAACGACTAGTATCATCACCTATGATGCAACTTCCAAACTTTTCTTATCCTTTTATACTGGAATTAGACGCATGTGAATACGGTGTTGGACGCGTACTTACTCGAGAATATAACAAACACAAATCTGTGATTGCATATATGCAAGCCAGACACTCAACGCAGTCTAATGCCTGGCTCTCGTGATAGTCTGGACAATCAAACACTTTAGAGTGACTACGTACTCTTCCTCTTTTTTAAAGTAAACTGACGGTAGAATATCACGTTTTTCTTGTGTAAAAGAATGTTTTATGAGACTATGAAAACATTCAGCGTTTATCGAGTTTCAATTTTCTTTTCTTTCTCTAACAAACTTTAAAAAGGAACTTTTCTTACGTTCTGTCGTAAACTATATTTCTTTGCTTGTTAACTACCGAAAAACAATGAAAGAAACCAACGTCGTGTGATTAATGTCTGAAGAACTCGGTAAAAAATATCCTTGCTTTGGCGAATATAGATGTTTTCGTTGTGGAAGAAAATGGCAAAGTGCCAAAGCTTGGGCTGATTATGGACAACAGTGTCAAAACTGCGCAATTCCTGTAAGTGCATTCAATCTTCAAAGATTGTTCGTTTACATTTGCGACAGATGTAATGCAAAATGGAAGTGGGCCTATATTGAACAAGGAATGAAGTGCAGACAGTGTTCTTCGTCAATATTTGTTCGTCCATTAGATCCAAGGAATTATGAAGATCGTCGATATATTCAAGCTCATCGACTTCAAGAGCTCAGCGATGTAGAAGATGATGAAAATCATATAGATCCTAGTAGAGAACATCGACAGGATCTATGCGAAAAATGTACACGATTAGGTCGACCGTGTCGCGAAACAGCTGGTCAAAATGATATATTGGCGAGTACTCGACTTCGTCAACGAAATGTATTATCTGCAATTCCTACTCAACGGTTCGTATCAGCAGGGTCATATCGACCTTATGAATCTTCGAACACGTCGCGTTCAACATCGTCTAGAACACCTTTGTCGACGTCTGTCGATGGATCAGAGTCATCTGGCGGTGGCGCAATCGTCTGTGTAAGAATACTCATGTTAATATTTGGAATTGTTATTGTTATGTGGTATATTAGCAAGAGTTAATATTGGGTCCCATAAACTGTCGTATAGTTTATCCTCTTTTACAAGTTCCCGTTGGTATATTATTTTGAATGTAAAATCAAATAATAAAACAAATACTAAATGGTTCATCAATGAATAGGATTTGTTTTAAATGCGAAAAATTGAAGGAAAGCTCATTTGAGTTATCGTTTATAAGTACAAAGGTGTAATGATGCAGCTATATAAAAAAATATTTTCATATGAAACAATGTAAAATATCATCCATTACGGCAAAAACTTTAATTGATACTTCAACATGCATCCTCACTCTCAATGCAAATCAAATAATGCATAAGACTGTTTCTGTAACTTCAAAACTTAGTTTTTTGAAAAGAATTCGGCTAAACTTTAAAGAAAAGTCTTTCTCTGTATATCTGTACGAACTTAAATCACAAAAATTTTAATCATGTAATTGATATAAATCCTCGTTATTATAATGTTAACGTATTTATCATGTCTCCTATTTTTTTAACCACGCAAAGATTACACTAACAGTTTTTTTTCTATTGACACCACGACATCGTGGTTCTCGCAGATAAATAAAAAATGATCGTTCATTTTTCTTTCTCAACTGATACAATATTTTTGTTTTCAAAGCGAACTCGTCTGAAACAAATAACATTTAAAAGTTGCATTTAGCAAAGAATGTGATACAAATATTTAGCCAGAACGACGACGGATGGCAGTGTTGATGGTCTATTTGCTGACAAGAAATATTATTCCTATTATGATTTCAACGGACACATGATAATATCGTTCTTCTAGAAGTCTGATATAGATTGGCGAAGAAGAATACTATGGCGCAAAAAGCTTGCATTTTTATAATTTTAATGACCTTATTTATTTACATTATGGGATCATTTGGTAAGTTAACTAAAATGTTCATTATTCTACCGAAACAAAGAAAATTTTCGTGTTCTAGCGTTTTCCAATAAACAACTGAATTTATCTTCAACAGTAATTTGGAATCGAAACGGAATCACATTCGCTAATAAATCCATCGTTGGCATAGAACCGACCACCATATTTATCAATACAAATGACACGATCTATATCGTTAATCGGGACAAACAGAAAATCTTGATTTGGAATTATAGTCAGAGTCTAAATCCAACGAACGAGATTCAAGGAAACTTCACAAATGCCACTTCTCTATTTCTAGCATCAAATGATGATATTTACATTGGTGATTATCAGAGTGGTAATGTGGTAAAGAGATGGAAATCAGAAGGAAATACTTTTGAAACGATTATGTATGTCAATTCATCGTGTTATGGCCTTTTCGTCGATCTCATTGATAATGTGTACTGTTCAATGAGAGATGAACATCAAGTGGTGAGAAAAGACTTGAAACTCGTTTCGATGGAACCCGTTCTCATCGCTGGGACAGGTGTTGGTGGATCTGCTTTCGAAGAACTTGATAGGCCTCATGGAATTTTTATTGATATCAACTTGGATTTATTTGTGGCAGATTATGGAAATCATAGAGTACAACTATTCGCATTTGGAGAAAGAGATGGCATTACAGTTGCAGGAGAAGATTCAGAATACTTGACTATTTCACTCCGAGGTCCTACTGGAGTTTTATTAGATGTCCATAAATATTTATTCGTTGTCGATTCAGAAAATCATCGTATAGTTGGAGAAAGGCCGGATGGTTTCCGATGTTTAGTTGGATGTTATGGAGTGGGTGATCATTTGAATCAGCTAAATCGCCCATCTTCTATGGGTTTCGATAGTTTCGGTAATATGTTTGTTATTGATACAAGTAATCATCGCGTTCAAAAATATAAACCGATGAAAATCTCTTCTTGTGAGTAGATAAAAATCTATGTGCTCCATATTTCTTCGTGTGAGATGCTTATTTTTCCGATCACGCACAGCATGAAACGGTAGTTTCCAGTATCCAATAGCCTTCTTCATTCTTAGGAACTCTAGTTAGACATCTGCTTCGTTATAGCTACTTCGATTAATCAACCATCACTTTGTCAAAAACCAACTATGAATCGGAACGCAATTGTGTTTGCTGAAGAATCATTTAGCGGATGGGAACCCGGTTCCATTTTTTTTAATGCAAACGATACAGCTTTTATCATTGATCGAGAACAAAGAAACATCCTCATATGGAATCGCAATAGTCGTAATATGACAAATATTGCTATAGGCAACTTCTCAAGGATCAATTCTCTGTTTCTAAAATCCAATGGTGATATTTATATTGATGACGGCAAAATTGAATCTACAGTGAAGATATGGATGGCAGAAACAAATACTTTGAAATCTGCTGTGGATCTAGTTTCATTTTGTTCTGACTTGTTTATCGATATCAATGACAATTTGTATTGTTCGATGACATATCGGCATGTGGTGGCGAAAATAAACTTGAAAAATAGTTCGATGGACGCTATTGTTGCTGGGAGAGGC